CATTTTACACCTATGTTCTATTTTTAGCTATATCGGCCATGTTGGTTGGTAGGCGGGGTCATCGGACACATTTTATAAGCTAGTTACCCGAATAATGATTGTGGCCAAGTTTGGTTAAATTTGTCTCAGAGGAGAAGATTTTTGTAAAAGATTACAAAAATTTGCCAAAAAATTGTTAAAAATGGACTATAAAGGGCAATAACTCCTTAAGGGGTCAATTGACCATTTTGGTCATTTAACTTATTTGTAGATCTTACTTTTCTGAACATTATTGCTGTTTACAGTTTATCTTTATCTATAATAATATTCAAGATAATAACCAAAATCTGAAAAAAAAATTTAAAATTACCGATTCAGGGGCAGCAACCCAACTACGGGTTGCATGATTTGTCTGAAAATTTTAGGGCAGATAGATCTTACCCTGTTGAACATTTTTACTCCTGTTTGATTTGTTCTAAATGCTTTGATTTTAGAGATATAAGCCAAAATCTGCATTTTACCCCTGTGATCTATTTTAGCTGTGTCGGCCATGTTGGTTGGTAAGCGGGGTCATCGGACACATTTATAAAACTAGATACCCTAATGATGATTGTGGGCAAGTTTGATTAACTTTGTGTCAGTAGTTTCAGAGGGGATGATTTTTTGTTAAAGATTACAAAATTTACGAAAAATTGTTAAAAATTGACTATGAAGGGCAATAACTCCTTAAGGGGTCAATTGGCCATTTTGGTCATGTTGACTTATTTGTAGATCTTACTTTGCTGAACATTATTGCTGTTTACAGTTTATCTCTATCTATATTAATATTGAAGATAATAACGAAAAACTGCAAATTTTTGGTCATTTAACTTATTTGTAGATCTTACTTTTCTGAACATTATTGCTGTTTACAGTTTTTCTTTATCTATAATAATATTCAAGATCATAACCAAAAACTGCAAAATTTTCTTAAAATTACCGATTCAGGGGCAGCAACCCAACTACGGGTTGTATGATTTGTCTGAAAATTTCAGGGCAGATTGATCTTGACAAGAAAAACTCATCTAAGATAAACATGATAAAAGATTTATAATTGTGAACGCCAGACGCGCGTTTCGTTGACATAAAACTCAGTTACACTTGAATCTTTCTAGTCAAATAAAGTACAAAGTTGAATAATAATGAGATCTTTGAGATGTTTGTTTTCAGCTTATGAGTTTGCATGTCCCTTCGTTATCTTTAGCCTCTCTTTTATTGTTTCCTTAGTGAAGCTTCAGGCCAAAATTTATGAAAGTCCAAAACCAAATACAAACGTTGCAGAGCGTATAGAACCAAAATGGCCCAAATCAAGACAGGATACCGGAGCTTTGCATGACAGAAATACACTCCTTCATTTGGGAAGATTTTGAAATTTTTAATTCTAACAATATCCGTATTTGCATGCCAGTACCGAAGTAATTACTTCTGGGCTAAAATGTTAATTCATTCTCAAATAATACATAGATGCATTGAAAAATAATTTCTGAGAATACTGCAAAAATCTCATTCTGATTAATTAAATAGTATAATCATAAACAGAGAAATAAGATACCAAGCATTTACCCATCAGGAGTCAAATACAAAGAGACAATACCATGGCAAACAGTGAAAAAGACCAAAAGACAAACAAAAATAACAAAACATCACAAAGAAAACGTAAGGATGAGCAACACGGACCACACTAAAAACTGAGGATGAATGCAGGTGCTCCAGAAGAGAAAGCAATTTCTGCTCCAAATATAGCACCTGTTTTGTTGATTCTGGAAGTAGAATGGTTACAATGTTTAGAACATACATTTGTACCCGAAGTCATATTTGATACAGATATTCCTTAATGGTCAAAATCAGGATAGCGGCCGTAAATAAAGGCAACAGTAGTATACCGTTGTTCAAAAGTCATAAATCGATTGAGAGAAAACAAATTCTGGTTACAAACTAAAACCGAAGGAAACAAATCAACTATATAAGAGGAAAACAACAGAAAAACTGAAGTGCAACAAAAAACAAACGACAATGCAACATACATAGAAACGAACTAATAAATAACAACTGCCATATTCCTGACTTGGTACAGGACATTTTAAGAAAAAATGGTGGGTTGAACCTGGTGTTGTTGCTAGCCAAACATCGCGCTTTATGGCAATGTTAAATATACCGCTAAAATGACATCATTACATGACGGGAATACAGTACCCATCATGTAAAACTCTCGAAGTGATGACTTAAGCTTTAGCTTTATCAGTTGGAATCATAAGGGTCTCATTGTAAGCAGTAACCCTCTTTTAAAGAATGCATGATAAGAAACTCAAGCTCTTAAATTTTGTATCAATTGGGAGATATCTAACCCGAATACTGGTGTTGCTTGAATATTGCTAAATAGAAATGGAAAGTTTACAATTGAAAAATTGTAATCATTTCTTTGGTCGTTAGGTTTAGTTCTGTACTAACTCCTCGTGCCAGTTTATAAATGTTTGTCAAGAAAGTGCGTTTAAGTAAGCCGTTATAAAATTAACATCGAATTCCCTCACAAAATGTTTTACACACTAAGATAGGAGAGAGTAGGAATGAATATACTTTTAGAAATTTTAAAGTTAAATATAGAATGTCGTTTATAAATTTAAAATATCTATGCTGGTTACCTGTATTCCGTAACAAAAACAGAAACAAACATGAAATAACAGTGACACTGTTTTTTTTTACGCACTTGAAGGTTCAGAAGGTTCAAGTTACTTCCAATGGGGTATCAAAAAAAAAAAAATAGCAAGCAAACAAGCTTGTTTACAGAATTTTCTTAAATGTCTGACATTGAAAGTGCCAATTTTACTGCACAAAATGCACATTTCGACAATTAGTGCATGTTCAATGATGCTGGAGTCCAAAATAAAAAAAAAAAACCCAAACCTATAGCGAAAATTAAAGAGGAGACAAAACATAAAAGTAAACGCCAAACAAAGACAATTATGCTTTATAGTAAGATTTATAACTTACATATAAAGTAAACGACTACCATGGATACAATCAAACCGAGTTATTATTGCATTAGACGCAACAGTAGTTAACCGATGAGCAAGTATCACAAATACATTAAAGATTATACGATATCAAGATAAAATCAAAACTAGAGAGAATCGTTTAAAACTACAGTCGGAGCGAGACTGGGTGCGTCGGTAGAGTAATGGACTCCTGCTATGCATGCACCATCAGTATTAAGAATACACCTAGCAAACATGTCACAATGCATTATTTGATTTTAACTGATCGAGGCAATAGGCACTGTTACATGTCGGCACAAATTCAATTTGTTTGGTCTTTGGAATACATAAACTGCAAAGTTTTTGCTATTAATATTTCATTTTGAAAATTTCCAATGATCTGTTTACATGGTATATTAAAGATAAATATATCTTCATATTTTATTTAATCAAAAATTTGCTTTAAAACATGTGCCGTTTTCACTAGTTTTTGCTTTAATAACCTAACGTTACCAATTTTACATCACATTTTTATAACACAATATACGTATTTGCATGCCGGTATTGAAGTTATGGCTACTGGGGTAACAAACCATATTGTTTGAGAAACTAAGCTCATTTAATGTGGTTGACCGATGTCTGTTTCACATATGAAGATGGATATGACTACAATCCCGTCTTCTTTTCCCCGAATGTGAGCTACCGAATAAGACTTATCCCCGGGTTTGTACTAACATGAGAAACACAACGGGTGCCACGTTTGGAGTAGAATTTGCTTACCCTTCCATGGGAGCACCTGTTATCGTCTCCGGTTTTTTGATGCGGTTCGTGTTGTCCATTCTTTAGTTTTCTATGTTGTGTTTTATATGTTTTTTAAATTGTTGACTAAGATGTAGTCTACAAGTGCGATGTACATTAAACATTGTGTGAAATTAAATATATCATGATAAAATCAAATATATACAAAACTTTTAAAGTAAAGGAACACAGTTAACAATAAGATTGAATGTCTGGGTCCACGTGCATGGATGGACGACAGAATAAAAACTTGAACAATCTGCTTTATATATTTCTCGGATATTTGCACTCATTATTTAAAGGTGAACGTTTATTTCTATTTATTTAAAAAAAATGTTTTTTAAATAATCTAACAAATTACAAAATGTTTAAAGAATTTGCACTTTGAAATTTTGGAGATATTTGATGATATAGAAAGTAAACGAAGGCTGATTTATTGAAGACGAACTGCTTCTCTCAAGGGTTGCATGCACAAAAAGAAGTATACGTACTACTAGTATATATTTGGCCAACACAATTTCAATTTAGTTAGTTTTCGGAAAACATAAACTAAGTTTTCGTTATAAATAGTTCATTTTGAAATTTTTTTATGATCTGTTTGTTAAAAATAAATAAAGGTTTTTACCATCACTAAATATAACCCCATAAAATAGAAGTTATGAATGCGCACATGTATGTCAAACCGTTTGTACCATACTATCCATACACAAACTTTTCATGCATTTTGAAGATGTCATGTCAAGAGACTTATTTGCTTGAATCAGTGAGTACAAATAAAATTATGAAAAGAAAACCTGAGTATACGTTATTTGGACGGTAAGCTAACGACTAAAATAACATAAAAAATATCCCAAATGTGTTTTATTTTTTTCGCAAAGAAAGGGAATTAAATTGTATATATAACAGCATATAAATATATGTTTTCTGGATGCACATTCGATTTACACCGCCGTAAATGTAGTTTCACAGTAGTAAGTATGAAACGCGAATTTGATTTCTGATACTATACTATTACTCATATTAGATTTAAATAATTTGGAAAGAGGTTTTGTAAGATCCTAAAATATAACGATGTTAACAGGACGGTTTTGTCATTATGTCTTTATGAATGAATGTTAGACTTCGCTGCACACATACCCACGCATAAATATATGCACCCATTGAAAACATTTTTCATATATATCGAATTTCAGTTAAATATCTATATTAAATATTCCGTAAAACACTATGCGTAACTATGTACACGAGCTCGTGGTCTAATGATTTGAGACCACTTGTATGTATTATACAGATTGCAAACCAATATATATTACCTAATTATATGCAACGGGTATAAAACTACTATATAGTATGATACACTTAGTGCTTTTTTTTGTTTCTGATTCATTCTAGTTGAAGCCAAAGACAGTAAAAATGAGCTTTATTCTGACGTACGTTATGTTTCAATTACTTTATCAGCATGCAAGAGGATGCGGTAAGTGTATGCTATAGAAAACAGACATTATATCCGTCTGAGTAAAGTCTAAAATGACGTAGTACTATAAAACAAATTCTAGAACAATACAGTTCACATTCTATTTAAGATAACTTTAGGAATATGACAAAATGAAGTTAATAAAAATACTGTTTTTGATATAAAGTTTTAGAACATAGAATAATGATTCAAATACACATCAACGTTCGCGAATGTAAATGACGTTGATGCTTAGTTTGTGGTATCTGCTGGTCGTTTAATGGAAAATTTTATAAACAAGATAATAATTTAATGTTCGGCTTTCATGTAATCTCATTCCTACACAGTATCGTCATGGTAGGTATAGTGTCCGGCTAGAATAAATGTTTTCGAGTGATTTGATTGGTTTTTTTTTCGATCGTGACCACTTTTTTTCGAGTGAATATGATAAAAAATGTAAAGAAACTTCCTTTCTGACAAGTAGTGATATAGAAGCTTGAGTTTAGTATACAAGGTTATACAAGGTATGTTAGTATTTGAGATAAAAAGATATTATCAATCCGACATTATTTTTCGTTATAAAAGTTAAGTTTAGCCTTACAATGCTTTTATTCCAAAATACAGAATAAAGCCATTTTTATACACATACCAATTGCAATGCACATTTCGAAGGAAATGCATACATGGAATCTATATATCCTTAGATATACAGACACTTTACAAAAAATCTTGTTATTGCATTGAAAACGACATTTTGAGACTAAATTCATTTCTATATGTCCGGGTTTTTCGAGTGCGTCCGTGTTTTATCGAGTGATTATACAAATTTCTTATAGCTTAAAATGTTATGTGTCAATGTATTTACGTTTAAAAACAATAACAAAAGGTTCAAATGAAGTTCTTTTCAAGGCATGAAACCAATGCATTCATCAGTTTGATAATGGTGTACTAACACTTATATGTTATAAACAAGTATCGTATATTTGTATATATTTTTGTTTGTCACATCTTATAAATTACATGTACAGTATATATTCGTTATGTCAACAATCTAATGTAAGCATAGACAATTTGGATTGAGACGTACATACATATAGTGTGTTAAGCTGATGAACTATTCATTTCATTGTTAATTATGTATGAATTTAATTCAAATTGTATTGCCAATGTGGATACAAATGGGGCGGATTAAGTGTGTGTGTGGTTTTTTTATTAATGGATTTTGTTTTTGGGGGCGGGGGGCAGGCCTTCTTTAGTAGATTTTTTTTTATTACATAGATATAAGAAGATGTGGTATGAGTGCCAATGTCATTTTTTCTGATTCTTCACTGCTGTCCAGTAGATTTCTTACTCCTTTTTTTAAAAACTCCGGGGTTCACCACAAAAAATATTATTAACTGTAAAAACAAAAGTAGCATGAAATGAAGTTGAAAAGATTATGAATCCCCTGCACTATGCTCTAAAGATCGTTTTATAAAGGATCCAATAATTTCTAATTAAACACTGGAAAATTGTGGTAGAACGTTTTCCGAACCGAAAATTTGCATTAAATTGAAAAAGGTTAATTTTGATCTACGTAGTAATATGTTTTGGTGATTTATTGGGAATATATCATATTGTCCTTCACTTAATTACAGTTATAAACTAGAAAAAGTCATTTTTTAAAGTCAAGAATACCTTTTTTCTTATTTAAATTTTCTTTAAAAAATCATGACCATTTGTTGAAAAACCCGGACGGTTTCACTGTTGCTCTCGAAAAAACCCGGACAATATTAAACACTGAATTTTTTTGTTAATTACAAGGAAATTGTGCTTCTTTGTTGCTCAAAACATATATAGTTTTCAAAATAAGATGAGTAGTCATATAAAAAACTATTATAATTACGAAATAGCAGTTAATTGACCTTATCGCATGTTTTATCACTCGAAAAAAAAACCGATCTACACTCGAAAAAAGTGGACCGATTTACTCGAAAAAACAAGATCCTAGCCGGACACTATACCTACCGTGATCGTTATAAAATACAAACATTGCATAATGAAGATTAGATAACATGCCTATTACTTAATTTATATTTTGAAACATTTCTTTATTACAGTAAGTATACAATACATTTCTTTTAACTTCTATTTTGCACTTTTTCAACATTTTTTTAATGCATGTTTACCTGCGTTCACTTATGCTGCCTTTTTTTTATTGACACCCTTGTAATATAGTTTTACATTTTTGTAAGAATTATATACTACATTCTTGAAGAAATATCTAATTCCACTTGTTATTTTCAAGAAAGCAAAGTTTGTATTTACCTATTATTAAATTCATTTCTTTTTTATGGGATGCTAATGTTAAACAGAAATATGAGTTAATAATGGAAGATAAAGATAACCAGATAGTTCTAATTTATTGAAGTGATTAAAATCAATTCGATGACTCTAACTGCATGAAAGTTCTAGCGATTGAATGAAGCGTTCCCTTCATAATTTGTCTTTGTACGTTATAAACCATTACTGTTTAGTCCATTGCGGGCAATATCCTTTTGGCGTGGCTTGGTACTTATACATCACGTCATTATGTTGTCATCCTATGGTAATTTTTTGTTTATATGCTTTGTCTGTATGCTATTTTGTTTTTCTTTGTTGACATATTTGTTTGTTTTAATAGCGATAAAGATTACAGTTGGGTACTGACCAAGCATTACATGTAAACGGGCGGAAAAAGTTAACGCGGCGTTTACTCGCGTGCACTTCAAGTAAACGCCGCGTTAACTGTGCGTTAACTCGGAAATTTCAGTAGACATAAAAAGTAAACGGGCGTTTACTTTCGCGTTTACCTTCGCGTTAACGCAAAATCGACGCGTCTTCTAATTTTGTAAAGAGTAAACGGGCGTTTACTTTCGCGTTTACTTCCGCGTTAACATGGTTAACGTGAAAAAGGCGCGTCTTCTAATTTCGTCAAAAGTAAACGCACGTTTACTGTTTGTAGTAAGCGCGCGTTAACGCAAATTGTCATCGAATCCTGGATACACTGACCTTAAATATCAAATGATAAAGTACATCAAAATTAAATGACCAACTGTTTATTTTCGATTGACATAAACAGTTAATTAATAATGTAATAACACCTCTTAAATTAATTGAAAATTGATCATAGTAAATTTCTTTTTTCTGCACAAACAAACAGTTCAAGCATGTCCTTATTTTATTCAAAATCACCAAAATCCAGCATTTTTCAAATCTCAGACTGTCCGACTCAGGATGACTCGTTTAACAAAATTAATTGACCTCATTAACCAAAAATGACCATATCTGCACTTCATCAAGTAAATATATATAGCCGAACAGTAATTCAGTTATATTTTTAGGTCAGGAGGGACTGTATAATACAAATGACAGCAATATTGGAAAACAATGACTAAAAAATTTGGTTCGCATCAATTTATAGTGCCAGCATGTCCTGTTTTTATTCAAAATATTGAATCGTAAACAAATATCAGTAGTTTTCATACCTCAGATTGACTCGTATAACAAAATTATTTTTCCGCATCAACCAAAACTGACCTAATTTGCTCTTTTTTATGTAAATCTTATAGTCGCATACTAAATCAGTAATATTTTTATATCAGTATGGATTGTATAATACAAATGACAGCAATATTGGACCACAATAACTAAAAAATTTGGTTCGCATCAATTTATAGTGCCGGCATGTCCTCTTTTTATTCAAAATATCTAATCGTAAACAAATATCAGTAGTTTTTATACCTCAGACTGACTCGTATAACAAAATTATTTGTCCCCATCAACCAAAACTGACCATATTTGCACTTTATCAAGTCAATCTATATAGCTGCACAGTAATTCAGTTATATTTTTAGGTCAGGAGGGACTGTATAATACAAATTACAGAAATATTGGACCACAATGACTAAAAAATTTGGTCGCATCAAATTGAGAGTGCCAGCATGTCCTCTTTTTATTCAAAATATCTAATCGTGAACAAATATCAGTAGTTTTTATACCTCAGACTGACTTGGATACCAAAATTACTCGACCGCGTCAACCAAAACTGAACTAATTTGCTCTTTTTTATGAAAATCTTATAGTTGCATAGTAAATCAGTTATATTTTAATGTAAGGATGGATTGTACAAAACAAATTATAGCAATATTGGACCACAATGACTACAAAATTTTGTTCGCATCGATTGAGAGTGCCAAAATGTCCTGTTTTTATTCAAAATATTGAGTCGTAAACAAATATCAGTAGTTTTCATACCTCAGACTGATTCGTATAACAAAATTACTTGTCTGCATCAACCAAAACTGACCTAATTTGCTCTTTTTTATGTAAATCTTATAGTTGCATAGTAAATGAGTTATATTTTTATGTAAGGATGGATTGTACAAAACAAATTATAGCAATATTGGACCACAATGACTACAAAATTTTGTTTGCATCAATTGAGAAAGCCAAAATGTCCTGTTTTTATTCAAAATATTGAATCGTAAACAAATATCAGTAGTTTTCATACCTCAGACTGACTCGTATAACAAAATTACTTGTCCGCATCAACCAAAACTGACCTAATTTGCTCTTTTTTATGTAAATCTTATTGTTGCATAGTAAATCAGTTGTATTTTTATGTAAGGATGGATTGTACAAAACAAATTATAGCAATATTGGACCACAATGACTACAAAATTTTGTTCGCATCAATTGAGAAAGCCAAAATGTCCTGTTTTCATTCAAAATATTGAATTGTAAACAAATATCAGTAGTTTTCATACCTTAGACTGACTGGTATAACAAAACTATTTTTCCACATCAACCAAAACTGACCTAATTTGCTCTTTTTTATGTAAATCTTATAGCCGCATACTAAATCAGTAATAATTTTATATCAGTATGGATTGTATAATACAAATGACAGCAATATTGGAAAACAATAACTAAAACATTTGGTTCGCATCAATTTGTAGTGCCAGCATGTCCTCTTTTTATTCAAAATATCTAATCGTAAA